AGTCTTCAGCTTGCATCTAATGTCATTCTCACAGACATCGAGTATAACGAGGTAATTAGCACAGAGTAGAATAAGAAGTTCTTTGGTGGAGTCGATTGACAGACCACGCACACCATGTTGAACATCTTTTGTGTAGCTGAAAAGTTAAGCGGTACCAGTATGTTGTTTTTGCAAAACAATTTTTGATGATAATCTTCTTTTTCTAAGTTTGCGCTTAGATTATCAATTTCTTAAATGAATTTCTACAATCTGAAATAATTATAATTTGAATATGTAAATTTCTGTAGTTCCGCTGGTATGTCTTAAGACTTTTCAAAATTTGGTTTGTTCAACTCGTAGTACTACCTACAAATATAGTCGACTTTGTTAGTATCGAAGAGTTGACGTTTTTAAACCAAGTGTTAATCAAAATCTAATCTGGAGATAATTTGTTAAGTATGTATACTTTCAGATATGACCCATTCCTGACAGTGACGTTTTTTTGCATTCGACTATATATCAATGGAATTTTCAGCAACCTACAATCCATAGAAAAGTTAACAAACTAGGAGAAAGTAATAGAGGCATTAATTTTTTTAACTAACAATAGTTAATGAAATTCCACTCTATTTTTTATATTTTGCTTCCCATACGATCGATCTAAAAAACCGTTGCCACCTATAAAACCAGGCCCAAACTTAGTTTTAGGCAATATTTCTAAAGTAATGGATTTGCTACTACGTTTATAATAATGTACCTAGATGCTGTTCGATCCGCTTAATATTGAAAATTTTAAATTTATAATTTTCAGCGTTGGTAATTTGTCCAGTGAAAACATTGAAATTCGAAAGGGTGTACAACTTTTCATCATCTATCCAGAGCCAACAATAAGTAATAAACCAAATTCGATACGTTGATTACACTGTCGTGCGTTGTGGCTATGAGTACGAAAGAAGTGACGAAAGAAGTGACGTGACCATCAGAATTGACGAACGATCCCAAAACTGTGACTCGGAAATATGCTGATGATGATGATGTCTTAAAGTGACGCTTCATCTGCACAGAATTGAGTATTTTCGAGCAAGGAGTAGACAAAATTATTGTTTTTGCTCACGTCTGTAAAATACCTAATTACACACCGATCTACCGTGCGGGAAGCGTCACTTACCACGTCAATTTCGTTTCCCACGGATTTCGGCTTTTACGGGATTTTACCGCACGGGTTTGGGAGCAAACGGATGTTTTCGGCGATATTTCCCACGCCTTGAATTTTAACGTTTGCCAGTTCTGACAGTCATGTCAAAAACTAACCAAAACTTAAGGTTGTGGAAAAAATATAGTAAAGTATAGTATGCCGTTTACCGCACTTGTTGCATAATATACTATTACTTATCGAACAAAGTCCCGAAAATAGGCATCATTTTCGAAAATCAGGGAAAGTCTAGAAAAATTGGGTAAACATCATTAGCAAAATAAAAAAATCTTAAAATTCGTTTCAAGAGTATAGAGTGGCACAAGTATCCTTTTACATAAAGCGTTTTCATAACCGTAATCCGACATGGTACATTGTCGAATGATTTCTACGAAATTAATAAAATACCGATTATAATATAAACGGCAATTTATTAAAGGAAAACTCAGGCAAACATAAACAGGCACAAAGGGCTTAGGCTCTACATTCTGGCAATGTAATCGTTTTAACAAGGTTTGTTTTCATCTTCGGGGCTCGTTACTTTTTTTCGGAAGAAAATTTATATTGTCATTCCAGACCTTTATGGTGGGCTATAAATTTAAGCCGAATTAAGTTACAAAATATAACGTCTTCCACGTAAGCCGGCGATTATTTTTAGGACGAGACGTAGAAAAAAAATGTGGGCGAACCATCATCCATCGCCGTCCTCTCATAGCGTTGGAGATCCAAAAAGTCAAGTCGCCCGCCCGCTTTTATCATATTTTTGAGCATTATAAAGAGGAAAATAACTAAAGGAGGCACTCGGTAAGTGAAGTTAATATTCGAAGGATACCGCGTTTTTATAAATACCGAGATAATAAACAGACAAAAAACACTTGAAATTATTATGTCCATACGATATACCCTTAACCATGTCAGAAATGATTGACTTATCAAAAATTTTCGTTTTTTACTAAATAAAAGAAAGTCCTTATGCGTTTCGATGTACCTTTTGACTGTCTCGATTGATTTTATAATTTAATGGGAACTCTGGCGGTAAAAATGTTTAACTACTTCGCAAGTGAAATATGAGTTTTATGTATGTATTGTATGGTTTATGTTGATATTGTTCAAAAAAAACAGTTCGTTTGGTATCACTCGAGATTCAGCGCCTTTATGGTTTCATTCGAGTAGTCAACATTAGAAAAAAAGCTTACAGGTTTCAAATACAAACACAAAACAAATTGCTGTGTGATAGGATGTCACCCAAGAAAAATTAATTTGTAATAATAATGCGCCTTTCATGTAAAAAATTTTATTCTTTAAACCCACCTAATAATCTTAAGCAATATTTTTGCAACTTGCGGACAAACCGGCGTCTCGATTTATGGATACTTGGCCTTTGAAAAATGTCCTTACAAGTTGTGTATTTTAATAATGGTTTGTAGTAAATTGGAACCGTCACCTCATACTAACAGCAGAAGAACTGGTTTTAGTTAAAGTTGAGAACTATGGCGTCACCGACGATTTCTTGCAAGTGAATCGAAGATAATCAGACGACCGTTAAATCGAAAATAATCTTCATGAGGTGTAACCTCCAAGAGAGTTAAAATAGAAAGCTTAATATATACACTAGTCAAGATATCAAAAATATCGTCTTTTGAGTAAAATGCAAGATATTAGTAACGCCTAGAATCGAGTACGTTGTTGTGCTAAAAATGTGCAAAGTACAATTTCCCAATTAATTACAATTTGGAATTATCAACAAGGAATATACTTGAAGCGCTAGAACTAAAGTTGAAGATAATTCACAGCTAAAGCACACGGTAATTATTTAAAGTATTTTCAAGATTCAAGCTGGCTTTCATAAACATAAATTTTTGGGCCCTATGTAATGTCAGATTAGAGATAAAAAACGCAATTTTTTAACAAATTACCTTGAAAATCACGGCTTGCTTGTAATGCACTATCTATTGAATATGTTTGATGGTCAAGAATTTAATTCAATTCTAAACTTTGACCAAGTGACTATTTCACTATAATTAGTATGCAGCATTATTAAACCATAAATTTTTCAACTTTCACTTCCCTTTTGTCAGTTTTATTGTGGTTCCCGAGTGGGTATTCCAATTTAAACGAAAAAGTCTGAGCGTCCCAATTCAAAATAAAAGGGTCAACCGCAAACATTTCCCCGAAGTACTCGTCGAAAGTCCTTGCTCGATTTATAGCAAAGTTTGGCGAAGTTTCAGCAACCGAACTATTTCGTCGAATGAAAATCGAGAGAAATCGGGCAAAAAGCACGCGTCTATGCAATATAACTTCGCAGTTCAGGACGTTAGCATCGAAAGTTTACTACCGACTACCATCTCATTTCGAACTGAACCGACTATTATGGAAAAACTTGAATAGTCTTGAATAGTCGGATTCAGAATTTTGAAAATTGCATTAAATAAGGAATAAGAATAAAAATGATTAAAATGTACAGTATTATAATCTTTTCTTAAACCTTTAGATGATGATGATCACGGTTGATGTTACCCCTTCGATTCTTCGACATTCCTTGAAATAAAAATTACAGAAAGGCGGTTTAAATAAGGAATATTATTCTCAGATATATACAAATAAAGCTCTCAGCTTCAACCGGAAGCCCTAGAAACTGTCACTAAAATCCGTATCATTGAGTTTTGGTAAATTTTGATCCTGATATTCCATTAAAGCATTGTACGTTGGAAAAACGTGAAAAAAAATCAAGTATTCTGATTTTTTGGAAAATTTGCACATTTGTAGAAAATATGCTTTATAAAAAATATAAATTTTCGCAAGTGAAGGCAAATGTTTAAAAACTTTCATAAGCATTTAATTATCATTTTTGATTCACAAACTATCATCAGGGTTAGAAAGAAGCAAAATTGATTAATAAAAAATGTTCCCATATGCCACTGTGCAATAAATATATAAGAAAAAATAAACATTCCAAAAATAATGATCAATAATAATATAACGAAAAACCTGATAAATTTAAAAATGCAGTTAATGCTGAAAAATCTCCAATCACAATTTTCAATAATATTTTATTTGGGAACAACAACGATAATCAAAAAAATAGAAACCAAATAAAGCATCTTATTAGCAACTACTAACTCGATTCGTTTTTTTTTTAAATTAAATAAATCTGATTTTAAGAAAACCCAGTTTTATGTGTGTCACATTTTTTTTCAAAATCTTGTTTCTTTATTCACGACTCAGTTATTAATTGAAATTCGCAAATCAAACAAAATAATTTACCAAATGCAAGAAGGGTTTTATAATGCCAGATCACATACTACAAGAATAGTACAAAATTATTTAGATTTAGGTGATTATTCAAATACCACATTGGATTAAAATTGCATTAAAACGGGTAGGTGCCTTGGGAATCATAAACCTCCACCTAGATGAGGTCAAAAATATTATCAGTGGTCAGTATTTTGTTAATTTTGTTAATCGGTAATAAGGACTTTTGCCTGACTTTTTAGTTGTTGCCGCATTTCATTAAATAAGTGTGATAAGGAAGTGAATAAAAAAACACAATTCCCAGAACAGATAAAGCTATGAACGTGACAAACATTGAGTGTAAAACTGTTTTTCATTTAAGCACGCGATACATACTTAAAATCTAAATTGAAATAAAAACGCTTTTGAAACATCTTTTCTGAAGCTTTAAACTAAAATAAAAAAATATATATCCAACTGTTAATCTAAACTATCTAAACTTCGAAGCGCCGCAGGTACCGCGAAGAATGGAATTGGCGCGTTGGACACCCTTAACATTTTTGAACGCGAAAATTCTTCGAAAAAAAAAATGACTTACCTAATGACAACAGCCGTTAATGATTTAGCTTTAAGTCTGTCGACAAAAACGGAAACGTGAAGTCTAGACATCGGAAAGAGCGGAGGGTGCGGAACGAGCATCGTAAGAGCGTCCAGCAGTTTCAGTTCTTTGTACGCTCCTTTAGCGGGAACCAGCGGCACCATACCCAATATGACGGACGGTTGAACTTGCATTTTCGGGTGGCAGCCTTCACCTTCATCCGGCCAAGGTTCCAATACAGAGTATGCTACCTAAAACGGGATTTCGAGCTATGGCAATAGTATGCAACCCCGATAAAACCGCTACCTAGTTAAACTTCGCATACCGTATAGCGTGTTTAAAATAAAATAGTTTTGGTGGAGAGATAGAGAAAAAAAATCCTCTGTTTGCGAGGATAAAATGCAGATAAGAATACCTTCCTTGTGAAAAATGGAACTTTCTTTAGATAAAAGAATACGATTTGATTTGTTCAAATGATACGGTGAAGTTGCGGTCTTCTAGGAGAATCTTTAATTAAAATGAATAAAATTAAATTGTTCCGTTTTGACTACAAAGTCCCCCAATATATCTTTATTTGTTGTAATGAATAACAACACTAACATAGATAAATGGAAATAAGTAGTATCTATATGACAAAAATTTGCGGTCGAAGGCGCAAAACAAAAAAAATAAAAAATGAAATCAACATGTATTTCTAAAGGTGAGTGTAACGGCTTAAGACTTAAGGACATTAAAGAACTAAAACTCACTTGAACCAGCCTCGGAGGCGTTTTGGTAGGTTTTCCAGGCCTACCGTCTTTATCCGGTGTTGGTAAGGGAGGCCACCAGCTTGCCGGAACGGTCACCTGAGCCAGGCAGACCCCATCTTCACCACCTGGGCTACACGCTGCGTGTAGAGGAGCGTTCGTCCCCATTGAGGCGTGCAGAACTGGAAATAAATAAGTAACATTTTGGAAACCATGTCTAGGCAAATTATCGATTTTCTGACTGCTGCTTTATCGAATCGTGTCACGAACTTCATCCGACGCAGTAAAATGGATTTTATTTCATTCAGCCGCAGAATATGGCATCGGGCCACTATAAAATTGGTCGTAAAAAGCTTCACTGTTCATAAAATCCCTATAAAATTTAACTAAATTGTTAAATTATTATTCCGAGTATTTCATAATTAATTCGATAAAAGGAGACTTTCAGAAAAGTTTCGTGTTTTCGATTTGCTAAATAGCATTCTAATGTCGATATTGATCAGTAACCACATCGTTTCCGCAACCATTTTGTCTCGTTCCGAAGAAATAAATGAAAAAATAAAATGACTTAACAATAGTAATAAATTACAAATTTTTGCATCTGCTCTATACACTATACAAATAACAGTTCTTTTAACTTTATGTTCATCATATTATAACAGCTATCCGATCTAATGTTTCTTACACACTGTAGCCGAACAGAATGTTCGTTCATCGATAAGCAAGTCATTAAACTGGAGTTGGTCCCAGCTTCAGCAGATCATTCATTAATTAGTCACCACAACTCCGAGACTGTTTGATCGAAAAAGGGGACCATTGTAGCATAATGCCAAAACTGAAGATAGTACGAGGTAACCAACTATCGTACTTACTTATACAGACTCGTTGATGATGTCGAGCAAGCAGCATCTGCCTGCGGCCTCCTGGGTCTGTACCCGTATGGAAGAGTACACGTAGAATTGGAGAATCTCTGGACACTTCATTGCGAACGATATGCGCCGACATGTCCAAATGATGAATGGCTTGGTCTTGTAAATCTATGACAGGTCCTACGATAAAGAAAAACGGCCATAAGTTAATAACGATGCCGCAAAATTTTAGTAAATATCGAGCACTAAAGACTACAACTAACACTATGAACAGAATAGTGTTTCAGGCACTGCTACTGTCTTCCCTACTAGTTCTAATATGGTTAACTCACCAGACGTGTTCATAGGCATGGGATCAGGTACCACGTAACGAGCGGGTACCGTTTGCTTGGTACTGAAGGGCCCATACGTAGCCCTAACCGAAATCGGTTGAGAGCTTTGGAAAACTGTGAACCGATCGATCGAAAGGGGCTGGCCAGTAGAGGAGACTCCAGTGCTGGTTGAAGGCGGCAAATCGATTATGGTAGAAGGCCCAAGTGCTGAACCCGAGTAATGTTGTCGAGGCTGCTGTTTGAGGAAGAATCCCCCGTCTTTGTTTTCGAAGTGAACGTTGACGCATAATGACGAACCTAAAACAAATAGTAATTTATTACCCAACGAAGAAATTGGTTGCATTATGCATTATTGATAAAATGTAATTGCGATCAGATAGATTTCAACTAAGAATAGTCCAACACAGAATTTGGGGGTCTAAAATAAAAAATAGGCCATTAAAGATGGAAATCGCAATTACATTTTTGTGAATACAGATTCATTCAATCTGGAAACTGTAGTATATTATTATTATTAATTGTACTGTGTGAAGATTATTACATAATATTGTTTTGTTCAAATTTCTTCTTGTGTTGCTTTGCTCTGGTCGTGCACGTGCACTAGTGATGTACGCAAATATCTACATAGTTTCGGATGAAAACAACTTATTTTTTAAACAGTTATTAACTTAATTAAATTCAACGACCTTAGAACAAACAATTCCCAAATTTTCCAATAACAAATATGCAACCAACAAAATCTGACCGCCGAGTTTGAATTTATGTTAATTTATACGGAATGTTCCGGAAATAGATGCCATAAATTGCGGCGGCGTTTTCATGCGGACGAAAGTAGGGAAACTTTTCGGGTATGCAAGAACTTCGGCGCATGCTAGAAATTTTATTATAACGCAGGTCTTATGGGGGCTATGTATTAGAAAAAGGGAATTACATGCACGGTTTAAGCGTAATGCCAAGACTCACGAGAAATAATAGAATAACGTGTTCAAATAGTACATGAAGATATTATTCGGTAAAGAATTGTTTTAATTCCACAAATGGACGAAATGAAAATATTTCGAACCGGTTTTGCATTTTAAACTGAAATCAAATCGAAAACAGTAACCTAATCAAAACTGATTAATCCTCCACTCCACATCAAAATATTAGGCCACCATGAGCTAAACAAACCATTTGACGTATTCTAAAATATTGCTGCTTTGAATACCAGGAGAACGCCATAAAGCAAGGGCCCTGCGATGAAAAATTTTCAATCTTATACGCGAAAATTTAGTTTTTCAAAATTTTACGTCGTTTGTACAACACTTATTAAAATAAAAAGAAATTCAAGGTATATTCAATTCGTGGATATATGTATTATGGTACAACTAAGTAGTAGTTTGCTCTCCGGACGGCGTTAACCACACCAACGAATAACAGCTCACGTCTATCTTTGATTAAGTAACACGGAAGTGCTGTATTGTAAATTTGCAAATGAAAAGGAATTATAGCCTAACTCCAAGGGCTTCGAGTTCGGGTTTATAAAGGTCAATGAAAAACTTGGTAATATATATTTTCGTTGGTTTTGAATTTACAATTCACATCAGGCATCTAAAATTGTTATTGAAAAAATGTCGTGTCAAAGAAATCTGACCGCGACACGACGTACATTTCTTTTTATCCATTAAAGACAAAGTCTTTTGCACATGGGTTCGTAATTTAGTAGATCCATATTACGTAGTTTCGATACACTAAGCCTAACTGAATAGGCAACCCTTATCGTAAAAGAAACACAGCAAAAAGTTGCAATCCGTCCGACATTCATTGTTACAGTATAAATTACTCCTATATTGGATATTACAATTATAGACCCTTGTTCTCGAACAATATCGTCGAGTAAAATGAGGGATGTATCCGGCCCAGGGGTGGGAAAATTTGATTAATTGTCGTGCTTTCACCCAAATATTGCTTCGGGTTCTTAAAAAACTGTACGCTGCTCTTTATTGAGGAACGTTCTGCCTAACATAGAATCGTGTTAATTAAAAGATTATTAAAACAACCCTTCTATCAATTTCTTTTGGAAATTTATAACGAGGGAGTTTAATGAGCGTTTAAGACGACTTGGGTAGCTAAAATGAAATATAGCTCTGGGATATTCTCGGACGTTTTAAGTTGATATTTTATAGAAAAATTATTAATGGGCGTTATTTCGATATTTTAAGTTCGACATAGAAGCGTAGGCAGTTTATGGAATACATATCTATCTAGGCAACTATTTTACAAAAGTATAAACTAGGTTACCATGAAGAACTCTAACATCAAGTGTTTATGGAGCATCTTTCATAACTGAGAATCCGTAAAAGTGTATCACACTAACCAGAACAAAATAATAATAAAAAAAATAACGTGCTTTCAATTATAATAAATCAATAAATATTACAATAAATAAATTATAACTGGTGCTTAGAGAGAGCAAAGGTGGTCTAAAGGACAGGCCGATTAACAATGTCGACCCGGCAGCCAAGTGGTTCCGAGTCAGAGACAAGCCGACTATACAGGATTGTAACGCTAGGACATGCGTTAGACCAAAACGTACCCGCCAACCAAAATTGCGAACCCGATTAAGTTCGAGAGATCCTGGATCCAGATTTCTGCTGACTAGAAACTTGTAGTATAAAAAAGCCTATATTGAAACCAGATTCCTTGCGTAGCATTTTTTTTCATAGAAACTCAAAACTGGTTATAATAAACGAGTTACAGCTAGTTTTTTAAAATGTGCCGTTTATACCATTTCACTTTTTATGAAAAGCGAGGCACTTACATTTTGGCTGTCTCTGTCCCTGAATTGTACATGAATAAAACTGTAATAATTACCAAAAATTTTCAAATTAAAAGTTACAGAAACAGTTCATCCAAATATCTAATAGAGTCAGCGACAGAAATAATTCCAATTCGTCGTTTTTCCAGATAAATTTCCAATATCTCATATTGCATTTTCCCGTTTGTTTCGATGGCGCCGACCGCAGCAGCCATGCAGCAGTTAGCTGCTGCCGTGTCTGCAATAAGGCCGCGGGCCATGCTTTCAAGTGGCGCTACAAAGCTGACAGTTCAATTTTACCGCTAATTGGAAAATATTTGCAAAAGTGAAGTGCCCTGGTTATTCGATATCGCTAACCGGATTCGGAAGCGGTTCCGATGTTATTGTTGTTACAGCGGTCTGGGCTTTAGCCATATTGCGGTATAAAATGCATATGAAACGGGCTACGGTTGGCGGACCACCCCAAGTGTGGAACTTTATTGAAAACGAGATATGTTGCGTCAAGCAGAGTTTAACAAAACATCATTTCAATTTTGGCTACTCACAAGTCAGTGAGCGAAATCTGTAAGGAAAATTTGAGTTTTATATAACATAAATTATTTGTTGTCTAATGTCTAAATCGATTGTATTTTTTCTTTCGCTATACCTTCATAGAACTATCATTCAATTGTTATATTAAATTATCAGAAATTTCTAGTCAATTTTTGGGTAAAATTTTGTTCTATACTCGTTCCTACACCTATACCTAAGAGCTTAGGAAAATACTTAGTTAAGATTTTGTTTCAAATCACTACTCTGAAATATCTAATTATGCACTCATCAAGTATCACTTTAATATGTCATCGTTAACCATGACGAGCCAATTCGGTCGTTTGCGTACGATATAAACAGCTAGTGCCAAATCAGACTCGTGACTAAAGTGGCCGTTAACAAATCGTATAATTTACTATTGAGAACTCGTTGAATAATGTCTGTGGATGTTTATTACAAAGCATACTTAACTTCGTTCCTAATTTTCTGGCAATTTTTATATTTATTTGGTACACCAATAAAACGAAATATCAATTACGTTTTAAAATTAATGTCGCCGAATTATGTGCGATTATCTATTGCAATAAATATTTGATATCTCAAGTTTAGCGTCCTTTTAAAAATTCGCACAATGCACAATTTTGATTTTGATAATTGATCTATCTAGTTTTCGGCGGGACACTTTTGCTTGATAAAATTGCGCTGGATATGTATTCGACACTGCGCATGCGAATTGAAACTATTTCATAACATTAAAACGTATCTTGTAAATTTGTGAGATATGCAATTTATTTGGTCTATTTTGTTTTGATGAAGTGAATTAAATTACTGGATAATAACCTATCGTATTCTCCAGTGCTACGAAGACAAAAAACAATTATAAGGCTCCCACAGACGGACGTTTATGTCCGCGTTGATGTATGCGCATTCAAAAATGTACATACAAAAACGTTAATGCGCATTCAGAAGCAAAACTGCCGATTTGGTAAGTGCGTCTGTATAGATCCAGTATACGTTGATAGATGCCAGTTTTCGAACGCCCAAAGCTATTGACGCTAACATAAACGTCCGTCTGTAGGGGCTTTAACTTGGGAATTTTATTCTTTTTTTATCAGAAAGTTCTACAAATAAAATCTAAAATATAGTAGCCAGATATCAGTTTTCAGTATACGAGATTTGTCAAAAAATATGGAATCAAGAAAGTACCTTGAAATTTGACGTTATCGAGAAACGAGAAGGTTAGTCTACTATAAAAAATGAGATAAATGTTTATTCAAAATATTACACAAACACAAAACCTTTTTTTTTTCGGTGTAAATGGATGAAATTGCAGATTTGAATATAGCTTTTAGTTAATTCTTTAGTAAATTTTTTGATATTTTCAAATTTAAAACTAGATTACTCTTGAGAAAAATCCACATTTTTTGATAAACCTCGTATTCTATACACATAACGGATTAGAAGATACCGAAGTATTAAAAAAATGAGTTTTTTCCTGAAATAAATTAATAAAAAAGTTTCGAATATGGTTCCAACTTACTCCATGCATATTGTTTAATAATAAAACAAAAGAACTTTTATTTTTTAGATTTTCTTGCTTTAGACATAAAAATTAATTTAATTTTATACATTTAACCAAACATTTATTGACAATTTTGATTTAAGAATCTCAGAATTTCAGCCTGCAAGAACTAGTATATTCATTTATCTATTTGCTGTTTTCCTTTATCTACCCAAATCAATATTATTGAAAACCATACTCGCTATAGCTAAAGCTTTAAAACTTGTAGGAAGTTCCTCCAAAAAAAGGAATAGATTATAGTTGCACAGAGAATACAAAAAACTGGACAAAGCAGAATTGTACAATTCCAGTAGTCACGTGCCAAATGGATTTCCCTGCTAACTACGTTTACCTAAGTACGACTCAACACATAACACAATAATCAGTTTGTTTGTTTGCATTAGTTAA